CTAAACGCTCGTAGACTATATTAGCAAGACAAAAAAATCCAGAAGAACATAGTCCATGCCCTACCATAATTACTACGGCTCCAGTTTGGCCTCATCAACCAAAAACCACTAATCCTCTCAATACCAAGCCTATATGAGCTACTGAAGAATAAGCAATCAATGACTTACTATCAACCTGACGTAAACACATGAATCTTACAATTACCCCACCTAAAATTCTGACACTAACTCAAAATCAAGAAAATATTTTATTTTCTTCGGGATACAAGAAAAGCACTCGAATCAAAGCATAACCACCTAATTTTAATAAAACACCAGCCAAAATTATAGACCCAGCTACAGGAGCTTCAACATGGGCCTTAGGAAGTCATAAATGAACTAGATATATAGGAAGCTTTACTACAAAAGCAAAAATTGTGCAAAAATATCACAAAAAGTAATAATATTAGATCTTTCAACCCAAGGAACTAAACCTATCGTTAACCTACCGCCCAATCTGTAAAATCTTAATACAGAAACAAGCAAAGGTAAAGAAGCAAACAACGTATAAAATAATGTATAGACTCCAGCCTGGATTCGCTCAGGTTGGTAACCTCAGCCTAAAATTAAAATTAAAGTAGGAATTAAAGATCTTTCAAACCTAATATAAAACAAAAGATAATCTGTTGCTGAAAACGTTAAAAGTAATGCTAACAACAATAGTAAATTTACAATTAAAAACCCCCTAGGAGAGTTATTTGTTTTTTTAATTCTTTGGCTTGCACAAACAACTAAAGCCATAATCCACATTCTTAACATAATCAGAATAAAACCTAGGTGGTCAGAACCTTATCTTAATCCTAACCCTGAAACAGAAAAATCATGTCCTATAAAACACCTAAAAATAAAACACATTAAAAAATAAAGAAATTTGGATGAACCATCACTCCTTAACAAACGCAATCAATAAAATATTTATAAAAATAAACTTTAACATTGTAATGTTCTAAATCAGAGGTTCTCAACCAGGGGGGGAATTCAGGTTTTCAGGGGGGGGGGGAACTGATTCGGGAGCAAGAGATATGTTCGATGAGAAATCAATCACAGAATTTTGGCCCTTGATGTGCGATTCCTACCCAAAAGTGGCAGAAAGAGCTATCCGTGCATTGCTTCCGTTTGTGTCGACATATCTTTGTGAGTCAGGCTTTTAAACTCTGTTGCAAATTAAAACGAAGCAACGTAGTAGATTAGAGGTAGAAAATGACCTGCGTTGTGCCCTTTCAAGCACTCCTCCGCGTATCCCAGAATTGGCGAAGAAAAAACAATCACAGGTTTCTCATTGACTGTAATCTTCATCTGAATAAAATTAATTATAAATTTACAATATCCTGGTATTCTATTGAAATTTTTGTTTATTGCATTATGCTTCAGTTTGTTCTGTTAAGTAATTCATTATAAATAAAAAAAAAAATATTTTACTTTTATTCAAGTTTTATAAATCCATCAACATTTTCAATTGGCATTTAATTTGTAAAACTCCACTATAAAAATAATCCATGTAAAATTGTAAATGTATATGTACTAATATGGAAAAAATAAAGGATTTTCAGTGTTATATGCATATTATTTGGAATGCACTTTTTGAGGCAGACAATCTTGGAAAGGAGGGGGGGGAATGACATTCTGACATATGGTGAAAGGGGTGCATGGGGCAAACAAGGTTGAGAACCACTGCTCTAAATCTTCTGAAACAATCGTTACCATGAGTCCGCACAATAGAAATCAACAAAGAAAGACCCAAAGCACCTTCACAAGCTGCCATAGTCAAAAAAAATAAAGTGAAATAGGCTTCGATTCCTACTTTAGCTAAACAAATTACTATGACTCAAAAAATGCCTAATATAATAAATTCTAAACTAAGAAGAACTCTAAGTAAATGTTTTCGGTTAGAAACAAAATTTCATAACCCACAGAAAACAACGATAAGAGGAACGAAAATAAACATTAATCTAAGAATTGACATTAGTTTTAATAGTTTAAACCAAAACTTTGGTCTTGTAAACCAAAAATGAAATTTATTTTCTTAAAACTTCAGAGAAAAAAGTAAACTTTTATCTTTAATTCCCAAAACTAATATTTTATTAAACTATTCTCTAAAATCTTATTCTTTATTCTTCCTCTTATTTTTGCAACTTCATTGCTCTTCACACGTCTTATTCATCCTTTATCTATAGGTCTTACATTATTGATACAAACTGTTATGATTTCACTTGCTGCAGGATTAAACAACAGCTCTTTTTGATTCTCATACATTCTTTTTCTTATTTTTTTAGGAGCTATATTAGTGTTATTTATTTATGTTGCCTCTCTTGCTTCTAACAAACAATTCAAATTCTCAGCTACAGCTTTAATAGATATTTCAAGGTTTTCTCTATTTTTAACAGTTTTTGTATTGCTAAAAGACCCTCTTTATGTTACTCCTGATATTTCTATTCTTAGATCGGCAATTTCTTTAGATATGTTTTCACTTGATGCTACTTCTACTCTGGTAAGAACTATTTATTGGCCGCCAACAATATCTTTTACTCTATTCATAGTCCTTTATCTTCTATTAACTCTTATGGTTATTGTAAAAATTGTTAATCTTTATTCAAGGCCACTTCGATTATCCTATTAATGACGACACCTATTCGCAAAAGCTATCTCCTCTTTAAAATTGCTAACGGAGCTTTAGTAGATATACCTATTCCAAGAAATATCTCAACATTCTGAAACTTTGGGTCTTTATTAGGCTTGTGCTTAGTTGTCCAAATTGTTACTGGTCTTTTTCTCGCTATACACTATACTGCTCATATTGATTTAGCTTTCTCTAGTGTTGCTCATATTTGTCGAGATGTAAATTACGGATGACTTCTTCGTACACTCCATGCTAATGGGGCTTCTTTTTTCTTTATTTGTCGCTACTTACATATCGGACTTGGTATATATTACGGATCCTATTTATTTTTTCATGCTTGAATAGTGGGAGTTGTTATTTTATTCATAGTTATAGCAACAGCTTTTCTAGGTTATGTTTTACCTTGGGGTCAAATATCTTTCTGAGGTGCAACAGTTATTACTAACCTTTTTTCTGCTATCCCCTATATTGGGACTGAACTTGTGCAATGAATCTGAGGTGGGTTTGCAGTTGATAATGCAACGCTGACTCGATTTTTTACAATTCATTTTTTGTTACCATTTTTAGTAGCAGCTGCAACTCTTATTCATATCTTGTTTATTCACCAAACTGGAGCTAACAACCCACTTGGAATTGCGAGACATATTGATAAAGTTCCATTTCATCCTTATTTTACTTTTAAAGATGTTGTTGGATTTATAGTTATACTGACTGCACTAATTTTACTAACTCTTCTAAAACCCCTACGTCCTTGGAGACCCTGACAATTTTGTGCCAGCTAACCCACTAGTTACACCAGCACACATTTAACCTGAATAATACTTCTTATTTGCGTATGCCCTCTTGCGGTCAATTCCAAACAAATTGGGGGGAGTAATCGCTCTAGCCACATCAATTGCAATTTTAATAATTTTACCTTTTACCCATACTTCTAAATTTCGAAGACTAACCTTTTATCCTCTTAATCAAATTCTATTTTGATCTTTAATTGCAATTGTTATTCTACTAACCTGAATTGGAGCTCGACCTGTTGAAGATCCTTTTGTTATTACAGGACAAATCCTAACAGAAGTATATTTCCTTTACTCCATTTTTAATCCTCTTTCACTCTTATAATGAGATAACTGCTTGACTGACAGTTTAGTTTATTTAAAACAGATGTTTTGAAAACATCAATAAGGACACTAAAACGTCTTAGCTGCCATTATATTTTCAATATACTAAATTAGTTATAAACTAAATTATAAAACAGTAACATAATATTTGTATCCCTATGAAAAAAATTAAATAATTAAGAGAAACTGGTAAAAATCTTTTTCAAGCTAACCCTATTAACTTATCGTAACGAAGACGAGGAAGAGTTCCTCGAACTCAGATAAATGCAAATCTTATTCCTACCAACTTTGCATAAAAAAGGGGACTAGAGGGTCCCCCACCTAAAAATAATAGTGCGAACAGTGCACTTATGAACAAAATTCTAGCATACTCAGCTATAAAAATTAAAGCGAAACCACCTCTTCTGTACTCAGTATTAAATCCCGACACTAACTCTGATTCACCTTCCGCAAAATCAAAGGGAGTTCGGTTTGTCTCAGCTAAACAAGAAGCAAACCAAATTAAAGCTAACGGCAATGTAACCCACAAAAATCATACACTCTCTTGGTATAAGTTAAAAAGTTCTAGACTGAAACCGCCAACTAAAAAGATAAAAGAAAGCAAAATTAAAGCAAGACTTACTTCATAAGAAATAGTCTGAGCAACGGCACGAAGCCTACCTAACAAAGAATATTTACAATTAGAAGCTCAGCCAGCTCTTATAGTCGAATAAACTCCTAATCTTAAACAACACAAGAAAAAAAGTACTCCTATATTTAAATTTATTATTCCAACTTCATAAGGAATTACTAGCCACACAATTAATGCAGTAAACAAACTTAAATCAGGTGAAGCATAATATGGAAGAAAATTAGATTTTACAGGTACGGTTTGCTCTTTAGTAAATAACTTCACAGCATCCGCAAAGGGTTGTAGCAGCCCAATAAAACCAACTTTATTTGGTCCTTTACGAATTTGGATGTACCCCAAAATTTTACGTTCTAGCAAAGTAACAAATGCGACACCTACAAGAACACAAATAATTAAAATTAAATAACTCACAAATATAACTAAAGCTATCACAAACTGTTTTATTCAAACATTTTTGAATAAATGTTTATTGTTTATAGAAAACTCTATCTAATTAGATCCTAAGTCTAATGCATCATATCTGCCAAAGTAATATAGTTAATCTACACTTAAAAATTATTTTAATTACTAAATCCTTTCGTACTAAAGTAATTCTTGCTTTCTTAAAAGATAGAAACCAACCTGGCTCACGCCGGTTTGAACTCAAATCATGTAAAAATTTCAAGGTCGAACAGCCCTACCTCCACAACTCCTACGCCATGGCGAATTTTTAATTCAACATCGAGGTCGCAAACTTTTTTGTCGATATGAACTCTCAAAATAACGCTGTTATCCCTAAAGTAACTTAAATTTTTAATCAACAACAAGGATCATTACACACAAATATCTCTGTATTTTGAATTTAAACAGTTACAAATTATATCATCGTCGCCCCAACGAAATAATTTAGTGTATAAATAATATTAAACTTTCAACTCATCTAATTATATACTAAATTATTAAGCTTTATAGGGTCTTATGTTCCTCTAAAATATTTTAAGACTTTTCATAAAATTCAAATTCGATTTTTGTGTTGGAGACAATTTGCTTCTTGTCCAACCGGTCATACAAACCTTCCAATTAAGGGCTAATGACTATGCTACCTTCGCACGATTTAAAATACCGCTGCCCTTTAGTTTGATCAGTAGGCAGGTTAGACTTTATTAACCATCATATAGACATGTTTTTTGATAAACAGGCAGACCTTTTGTTGCCAGGTTGTAACCAACTTTAATCAATATTTAAAAGATTTATTAATGTTTTAAGATTTTGTATTTACAAAATTTTCTATTAATAAAATCATTGTATCTATAAATACAAAAGATTATTAATATTTTTTAGATACAACTACAAGAAGTATATAAATAGCACTGAATTTAAAATTAGTTAAAACACTTTATTCATATGGCTACTTCTAAGCCCTAGAATTCAACTTCAATAAAATAAGTTTTCTTCTGTACTATTTTATATTTTTTTGAATAAGAGCTCAACCCTCCTATTCTTACATTTAACTTTCTTTAAATGCTAAGAAACTGAATTAAATTCATTTTTCTAAAAACCAGATATCAAAGGGAATAGTTTAACATTTCACCACTAAATTAATATTAAGATATTTATGCCACAATAACCTTTTTATTAATTTTGCTCTTCCTTTTTCGGGATAAAACTACTTTTAAAATTTTAATTTTCCCTGACAACAAGGTACAAAAATTTACTCGTGCTTACTTATTATTAAATTTTCATTTATTTCACTATTCTTTTAAAAAATTTTAACTTTGGTCTTTTTCTCAGTTTTCGATTCAAAATTTGAATTTCTACTTACTCTCTTTTTATATAAAATATTTTTCTCATTTATATTCTTAACACTGAATAACAATAGCAAAGACCTATAATGCTCAAAATATAATCGATTTGTACGATAAACCTTCTCAACGTAAGTGAGATGCTAAACCATAAAGCTTTATTTTGATTATTTCTAGGGACACTTTCAGTCTACCTACTATGTTGCGACTTATTTTGCATTTTTAGGCAGAAGTGACGGGCGATATGTGTACATAATTTAGAGCTCATATCAAAAAGCTATTAAACTCTTTTTACAATTACATCCACCTTCTTTGCAAATAATTCTATTTTACAATCCGTTATAAATAAATATTATTGTAACTCATTTCTACTTATCTATCAGCTGTACCTTGATCTAACATATTAAATTTTTTTTAATCCCAATAATTGGCTTTTTTTCAAGATTATTTAATAATGACGGTATACAAACTGTGAAATTTACCAAGATAAGTAAGATTCTGCGTGTCTTATCGTTTATAGAACAAGTTCCTCTAACAAGACTAAATCCCTTAAATTCTTTGAGTTTAAAGAATATAACTATTAATATTCAAGCATTTAAATTTTACTCCCAGGTGTAATAGGGTATCTAATCCTATTTCATACCCCGGCGTCTACAGTTTCATCTTTGTTATATACTAATTTAATTTACTAATAAACACTCTAATTTTACATTTTATTAAAATAAACTAAACTAACTTATAAATTATTAATTAACAGCTAACTAACTTACTTCTACTTAATCTTAAAGTGTAACCACGACTGCTGACACAAAACTTAGTCAGATTTATTATCACTACCAAATCAGGCTACCGCCCATAATTTAATATTTTATACTGTGATTTTAACTTTCTTAACGCTAGTTAATACTTTCTAATTACTTATTTTAATAAACTTTACTCATTTTTTACTCCCCACAATTATTTACATACACATAAGTGACCTCACTGAGTGAGGACGTGTCTCCTGGCGCTCAGCAGCAGCCAAGGTCATCAAGTCGACCTGTAGTTACTTAGGTAGTTCAGTACTTTTACGGGTAGACAGTGCGTATTTTCAAGGTGTCAGTGACTGTAAGTGCCAGACTTGTGAATATGTGTGTTCAGTGGCACGATATCGTCGCACCGACCTGTTTCGGCTGAAGTCTGGTGCCGGCTATCCTCCACCCACACCATCACTCTACTAAAGGCGCTGAGTATCTTCCACAACCGCGGCTGCAGACAGGGTCGCCGCATTCCCAGACGAATCCCTATCATCACACCGAGCAAGCATTGAAAAGTCAAGCCAGTACTTGAAAGACAGTGTACTCGCTATGAAGTGCCGCGACTATGGTACAGCTTACCATCCCTGCTGTCAATGTCACATCTTTATGCAACAAGGTGGAGGAGGTCAATGTCGCAGTGAACTCAGCTGGTGCAGTTATTGTGGCGATTACCGAGGCGTGGCAAATTGTTCCTGAGATCTGTGCCATAAAACTATGAGTTATTTCACCACCTTAGAAACGACAGGAGAGGTGGGGGTGTAGTTCTGTACTGTTGCAGTGACCTCAAACCATCACCCTAGGTGTTAATGTACCTGAAGATGCAGAAGCTTGTGGGTTCAGGTCACTCCCACCTCCCACCCCGCCAGCTTGCCTCCCTCATTGTCTGTGTATGCTATCATCCCCCCCGCGCACCAACAGCTAATGTACTGATTACTCATATTATAGACACTGCTGACTCCCTGAGATCCAGATTTCCATGTGCTAAACTAGTGATATGCGGTGACATCAATGAGTTAGACATCAGTGACATCACCCAAAGGTTAATGAAAGAGCTTTAGCAACCAGAATGCTGAAAGTATACAATTTCATAATTGTAAATGGGTCACTTGATTGACAAATAAAATAGAAGTAACATAAGTCAGACAAAAGTGTTGATAAAATGACACAAACAAATCTACATGATTTTAAGCATGGTACGGTTTGTCACCAGAAAAGTCTCACACCCGAGTACATCACGCCGTGTCCGGGACAATAATATGTGCGAAGTGTCTAAAATGAAGGCGGCGGGAGTTTCGCCACCACTGATAACATGTCACTGTGAAACCCGGCAACTCAGAACCCTGATCATTTATATACCAGCGTCAAAATTTTCCTCAAGTCATGTATATCTCTTCAACATACTATAGAGGAGAAGAGGATCTAAGCTTTCAATATTATTATAGTTAACAATACCAACAGAAGGTGTCAACATGTCACCCTATCACAACGTCAACATGCAGGCGAGGTTCGTCACTGCAGTACTCTGTTTTTCCCTGAAGAATCCTTTTCCACCTGCTTACCCTCCACGACGAGTCGTCAGCTCAAGCAGTCATTGTTAACTTGCACGTTTGCGAATATTAAATCACCTGGAGGAAGCTTTCATGTTCTGTAGAGAGGAGGTGTCCACCACAGACAACCCTGAATCCACTACAAGCTACAGTGGCGGTACTCCACTACACACCCGGTGGCCAGATGGTCCACTCACCAACCGCTACGTGTACCCCGCAGCGGCACCCATATACCTCATTCCTACCTTCGGGTCTTCCACGACTTTCACAGAGGATGCCGGAGACTACACGTGTGTGTTGCTCTACGACAACTGACGTTCACTCACACAATACATGTCTTCGAGACCAAGCGCTAACGTAGTCACAAATTTAACGCTTTAATTGCACTTCATGCCACAATCACGACACCTTAAATCCAAGCTGCATCATATTTATATATTTATTATCTGGGTCATTATATTCTCGTATATCTCCCACTACATTATATATTAGGTTTACTACTAATGTTAAATAATATATATAAATTTATGCTTTTGAATAAACCTATACACATTTTTTAACTACTTGACACATTATTGTAACTGCTTGCCACATTATTTAAAATCATTTTGATAGCATTATTGTAACTACTTGAGACATTATTGTCACCATTTGAAACATTATTGTAACCATTTGCAAAATTATTGTAACCTGCTTGAAACATTATTTTAACTACTTGACACATTGTTGTAACTGTTTAACACATTATTGTAAATACTTGATACAGCATTGTAACTATTTGACATATTTTTGTAACCATTGACAACATTATTGTAACTACTTCTTGGCACTTATTGTAACTGTAACAGTGGAAGAAAACAAATTAATGTAAGTTGGGGGACTTGAAAGAGGTTTTCTATCCTTCAAAGACCTCTAACTAGAGCATGGCAAAGAGGAATGTTCAGCCAGTCTTTGCACCTTTCTTCCCCGGAGGCCCGATAATGGTCATAAGAAATTCAGCTGTTACTGAGAGGAGATGGTTGGTAGTTGCTTCCTACATCACAGTACCAGTACTGTGTTCATATTTTCCTGAGAGCACGAAGGAAAAAACATAAACACCAATGAACAGCTCCTAGAAACAACAACAGCACTGAAGACAGAATCAACACAACTGTCCTGCTTTTGATGGTCTATAAGTTGTGTTCTCACCCTACAGCCTACCGATCTCTCTGAAGCTGTATACAATTGGCGAGAAACCCAGGTAAACAAGTACAGGACCTGAGCCATGAAACCTTTTTTCCAAACATAATGGGTAGTGCTCCATACCAATATGACCACCGGAAACTCAACACGGAACTAGTGACATGTTGCAGACCCAGAGGCAGAGAGAGGTCAGTATACTGGGCTCCGGGGTGTGTGTGAAGGAGTCCTTTTATCGTAAGTTGTCATAAAATTGTAAAGGTTCTTGACACTTGGCGGTATGGTGGGTTTTGATTAACCAGAAGGCAAATAAAGCGTTTCTTTCCTTGTCCCTTAGTTTAGCCTTAATTTGTGTTTCTTAAACTTAAATTTTTTCAAACTTTCACACAGTTATGTTTATTAAGGTTCTGTAGTTATTGTATACTAGATGAAAGACTTTTTATGACTATTTAGTAAAGCGACACAGTGACAATATACGTATAAGGAATACGAGTTTTTGTCTTTAGATATCCTATAGTCTTGTTTTTGATATTTTTCTTTTTCTCCAAATTTTATTCAAGAGAAAGAAAAAGTTTAGTTACTACTGTACAATAACAAGGTGTGTATTAACACAAGGTACTTAACAGTGGTATGGTTGTAACAAGTTCACACGACATAAATTGGGCTTAATCAAATTTTAAACATGTTTTAGCCACAGTACAGCATCCCTAAACTATGGCCATTTATGAAAGTACAGACTTCTAGGATAATATGGATCATATTCCGGCTCCTGATAACTCTTGATAAGGTATTAAACGTTTCAACTCCCCTGTGTTGAGTCATACGTTATAATTATGGATTGCTCACTACCTTCGCCATTTTATGGTTGAAATGATTCCCTTATTATGTTAGGCAATAATTGCTTCATCCTTAACATTAATTTTACTGTATATGCTTTACCGTTATATGTTTGCTTCCGCATTGTTTATTTGCCACATATACCTCCTTACTGTCTATTTGCATTATATATATACCTGCATTGTCTTTTCTTGTATTATATATACGCACATTGTCTATTTGCATAATATACCTGCAACTTTATTAGCATTATATACCCGCATTGTTTATTCGCATTATATACCTGTATTGTTTATTTGCATTATGTTCCTGCATTTGTGCATGCGTCCAGTCAGTAAAAAAAATATCAGCACCTTTTTCAGTCTTATACAATATGCAGACACACCGAACAAAGAATCCTGACCCACTCCACCGAGTCTCTGCCATTGATGATGAAAAACTTTTCTGCTTTAAACTGACTCCATCTTATTCTTTATGCCAACATATTATGTCGGTGAAAGTCATACCTACATTGTTCCAATTTGAAAACATGCTAATTTTTGCCACAGCAAGTGATGCGAAATCGTAGAATTTTAGCATAAAAATTGTCATTTATATTGTTCTCCTCTTGCAAGAAGTCGTATATATCTTTAAATAATGTTACTTTAGATCAGATATACATTGTGATAAACTATGTGATATTCTCACACGTAATTCATTACCTGGCAGGGAGATATTTTTTACACACTGTAGAATATATATGATCCAGTGAAAGCTTTGTTTCGTTAAGGTCATGTGCTTGGCATTCTTGTTAATTTGCCTATTTTAACTATACGTGAGTATAGAGGATATAACATATTGTGCATCACAGAATCAGAAATCCCAAATCGCCAAGTGAACAAGTAATTTGGGTGTAGATTCTTTCTGCGGTCTCTACATTGTTTGTATACTCAGTATTGTCTATGTACACCCTTTCACACTTTCCACCTGCTTCACTCCGAGTTGTCAATCTTCGTTTCAAATGTTATGATCCACGGATGAATGAACTCGAAACCTCCAGTTTTAAAGCGTTTCACCCAGATATGATTTTCAAATATGTATAATACAGATGTTTTCACATTATTACAGCATATATAGGTTCCTGAGTGATGTAGATTTACTTGCCAACTGTCATGTTTCTTGTAATTGACAACTAGTGATGTCGTTTTCAGTGAACAGTTTTTGTAAATTTGCTTACTTAAATTGTATGAGAATTTATGATGTTCTAGCCTTTTTTAATGAGAATGGTGATGTTATTTTATGCCTTTTTGTGGTTAAAGTGTTAACATAGACCAGAGCTCAAGAATGATTCATATAGATATCGAATGTGAGTATTAGCTCATAAGATTATAAATATCATACGGTCACTGTATTCGGTGGGACCTCAGTTAGCATGGGCCACGTATGATGTCTGTTACAATGTCTGACAAATGAGCTCCTTGTTCGGATGAAGAGCCAAACTAGAGACTACGAAAGTTTGATATTTCATTGATTTCTAAAGGACGAAAAATCCAAGAAAGAATAGATTTTATTGTGCATGCATCATGCTAGTACCACAGGCAAGAATATCATCAGCACAAGAAATCAGATTATTCCCAAGATTAAAGCAAAGACATTCAAATAAGAAATTACATAAAAACGAAGCCAAAATGTTAGCTTGTCAAACACCTGGAGACACCGCACATCAACCATATTTGGGTGCAGTTTGTTCAAAAATTTTATAAAATTAATAAAAGTGTACACACCTTCCTGGTGACTAAGCTTATAAAATGAACCTGTCGAGGTTTATATCGTCTGACAGAACACTAAACTCATACCGTACAAAGTTACGTTCTCTTAATCAACTGAAAATTATGGGATTTATGTATCTTATCACTCGTATCAAGGTTTATTTTAATGCAATCAACTGTTTATGGTGAGATTATCAATCATGTGTACTGACTTGCATGTAAACGAATTGAGGAAAGTTGTTCAAATGCCCCGATACATTCCGGATTAGAGAAATTGTTACGTTACTCCAAAATTTTTACCTATATCCTCTAAATAGACGTCACCACCTGTCAACACAACTGCACTGCACCAACAACTACACTACCTTGTCACCTTAAGTATCTTAAACACAACACAGGCTTGATAAACATCAGTGGCAGGCGACGTTAATCACCGCGTGTGGCCTTGTCTTCTCCTTTATCATACCATCCATTCCAGATTAATTGACACACTCAACAGCTAGCTGCTTCTGCAAAAAATCCTATAACCATTTAGTAAAAGGAAGTATTCTATATGTAACTCAGAGAGTAATAGTTTTTGGCCTAACCAGCCAAAGTTGATAGGATAAGGTGAGCAGCTAACATGCAACTATTATTAAGGTGTTATCGTCCATCACCACGGCTCTTTATAAAAGAAATACTTAATAACAAACATGACCACAAGATTGAATGGAGTCTCTCTCCGGTTTCTAACCTTATATACTGTACTGTGCTGTATACAAATTCCTTTCGTAAATAAAAAGTACCACCACACAATAATTAATAACAAATATACAGTCTCCATTCAGTTAGTCAGTGAGTTATATTTCAAGATTCTCATTTTC